TATTTTATTTTATTTTATTTATTTTATTTTTTATTTTATTTTATTTTAGTTAAATATATAGCTTGCTGAATTATAATTGACATAACTAGAAGCAGATTTCTACTACATGGAAAATTGCATTTTTATTTTAAAGAGAAAGGAGGTAAACTAGGGTCATGCTGTGTCTTTGAAAATAAATGGGATAAGAGGTGGCTACAACTTCTGATAGTACAATTATATTTATGTAGCCTTATCTAAGTATTCACCTGTGAACTTTTTATTTGTATGCAAGCTTGATTTATACCACAGTGCATAAAAATTTCAAAGTCTCTATATGCCTTTCAAATTACATCTGTACTTTAACTTCATAGATCAGCTCTGAAATAAATTGTTAATAATGAATAACCTTGAACAAAGGAGAATTTTGACAAACAAATTTTGAAAATGTTTATTGTGATACCAAATGTATTGCTAAATGTCACAAAAATGCAACTAATAGTTCCAGAAGAAACTAATAACTTTAAGTTCAAGCCTACTGTAGCTTTCTCCTCAAGTTCCTTCTAGATTGCTGAGTAGACTATAAAAATTTTATGTGAAGAATTACTGTTATCAGCACCAGATAGAAGCCTGAGAATGTATTGTAATTATCACGGAATCATAGAATGGCCTAGGCTGGAAGGGACCTTAGAGATCATTTTTAATCCAGCCTCCCTGTTGCCAGGGACGCCACCTCTCGACTACATCAGGCAATTATCTCTAATTATGCAACTATATGAACCTATGAAATGTTTTAAACAAAGTTTTATTGTACATAATGACTGTGTGTAGTTTCCGGTATTTAGAATTTGAATTATTATTCTTTCTCATTTGACAGGTCTGATATTTTTACTTGGCTTTTATTATTTGGTAGTTACTTCTTTACTAGAGCATCTTTGCTTCACAAATCATGCCAATTGCATTTTACTATGAAGTTAAATTAATGTTTTTAGAAATAAGTACGATTTTACTGGGTTTTTTTGGAGTCTGAATGCAGAAAGCACTTGAACCCAAAACAATCAAATTAATTTTAAATTTGTGTGAACATTAGACAAGCTTCTCTTGAGTATTTGCTGAATTCTGTGTTTTCATAATGACACAGATTATTTTTAAGCATTTCTAGTTAGATTTAGTTTTTGATATTGTACTATTGAACTGTTGACTCATAAATATTGTAAAGATTATTTAAGTTTTGTTTAAGTGGTATAGGATTAATTGACCATTTTGAAAAGTCAGAATATACCTGCCTAAAAGCGGATGACAAACTTTTCTTGTGGTGCATGAACATAGGATCTCTAGATTCATCTAGTCCAGTATTCTGTATTTGATTGTGGCCAGTCTCAGAAGTCTAGAGAAGAACATAAGAAAACTGCAAGCATATTGCTGTACACCACCAGAACGTACCCAGAAATTCCACTTGCAGACTTGAAGTCTGAAGAGTCTAAAGAGATAATGTCTTCATAAACACGGTTAATTTGCTAATCAATACAGAATTCTGAGGGAATGGTAACACTGATTGTAGAGTTTAAGAACATATTTCCTAGTTTTTCCCTTTTATGTACTTTTCAGTAAGGACTATCTCAGTGGTCACAATCACCAATGAAAGGGAAAAGATGAATTTGCTGTTTATCTCCTATTAGTAAGACGACTGATAGTATCACAAATGTGTTTTATTTAAGTTAGGGGTTTAGGACTTGTTCCATACAATTATTTAAAGAAGTTACATTGCCTTGCCACCATTGTCTTAGATATGATGCAATTTAATTAAGAGACTGCAAATTACTAATTTTTTAAAACAATTTTATTAAAAAAACCCACCAAAACCTCCCAACTGGAATAGATTATTGTGATTAATAAAAGAAACAATAAAAGAATGGAAGGTCCTGTCAGAACGTTCTGCAGAACTACAGTAACTTGATAGTTAATTAAACAATTAAATACATGGAAGCTAGGATGCAGGTTTTTAATTCCTTGAGTGTATTCCATGTCCTTGAGGAGAACCCAAATTGTAATGTTACAACATATTCTATGATATTTGATTATAAGAATTTAGTAGCTCTTGTTGGAATTGTTTCAAATTGAATAAGCTGATTCTGGACTAAACTAATTCTTTGTATCAAAGTGATTCTTTGTCTTACTGTGGAGCACAATTTCGACTTCACAGGAACTCCTAGTATGGATCCTGTGCTATGGGTAATAGGTGTTAACATGTTCAAATTGGAATGCTCACTTCAGAACCATAGAATCATAGAATCTTAAAATGGTCTAGGTTGGAAAGGACCTTAGAAATTATCTAATCCAACATCCCTGCCATGGCCTCTCAACTCAACCAGGCTACTCAAGGCCTCATGCACTCAGGCCATGAACACTTCAAGGGAGGGGACATGAGCAAGTTCTCTGGGCAATTTTTTCCAGAGTCTTGCCTCCCTCGTACTGAAGAATTGCTTCCTAAGATCCAATCTAAATCTATTCTCCTTCAACTTAAACCCATTTCCCCTTGTCCTATCACTGGACAGTCTTGCAAAAAGTCCCTCCCCAGCCTTCCTGTAGGTTCCCTTCAAATATTGGAAGGCAGCTATTAGGTCCCCCCGAAGTCTTCTCTTCCCCAGACTGAACAATCCCAGTTCCCTCAGCCTGTCCTCACAGCAGAGGTGCTCCAGCCCCTGGATCATCCTTGTGGCCCTCCTCTGAACATGCTCCAACAGTTCCACGTCCCTCTTATGGTGGGGACGCCAAAACTGGACGCAGTATTTGAGGTGGGGGTCTCACAAGAGCAGAGTACAAGGGGAGAATCACCTCTCTTGATCTGCTGACCACACTCCACATCCCAGGATGCGGTTGGCCTTCTGAGCTGCATGAGCGCACTGCCAGCTCATGTTGAGCTTCTCATCTATCAACACCCCACAGTCTAGCCATTTAGAGGATTCAAATGGAAGAATGGGGGATCAAAGGCTTAACAGCACCCTGGGGTCTGTATTTACTGTGCAAACATTCTAAGGTGTGTATTAGAGTATCAGCTTGTTTCACTTTTCAGGAAAACTTGAAAGTTTGTTGGAAATAAATGCAATGCAGTAGAAATAAATTGTAAGTTGATTGAATTGCAGTTACACGTGGTAGATTTTTCTGACTTTCTACCTTCTTTGACATTTAAATACTTCCAGGGAAAACACATTTTTGTGTTTTCTATTCTGTTGAAAAGACTACTTTAAAATACTGTGCTTAAGAAAATGGAAAAGAAGTTGCTGCACTGTTTATGCAGTTTTCTTTAGAAGAAGCAACTTTGAGAAAATGTTTGTGTGATTTGGAAGCTATAATTATCAGTAGTGTATCAGAATATGCAGTGTAGGTTGTTGACTTCTAGATCATTAACAAAGATATGGAAAGAATGCCTTATTTGGAACATCTGACTTCTGTTCCATTTCTTAGATTTTTTTAGTTCACAAAAATATCAATACAAGTGCAATTAACCAAATTAAAAAAATAATGCAATGATTTATCCAGACATAAGTTTCTTTTTAAAGTAATGCTGTTGACAGTTCTTAGCAGTTTATTTGGATATAGTTAGATAAACCCCAAATTCTGTCAGTCGAGTTGGAGGCCTGTATCTAGTCAAGTCCCTCAGTATGGGGACCAGTACTATTCCATATATTCATAAATGACCTGGATGAGGGAACAGAGTGCACCGTCAGCATATTTCCTGATGACAGAAAACTGGGAAGAATGGCTGACACACCAGAAGGCTGTGCTGCCATTCAGCAAGACCTAGACAGGCTGGAGAGTTGGGCAGGGAGAAATTGTGTGAAATACAACAAAGGCAAGTATAGAGTTTTGCACCTGGGAAAGAATAACCCCAAGTACCAGTGTAGGTTGGGAACTGACCTTCTGGAGAGCAGCGTAGGAGAAAGGGACCTGGAGGTACTGGTGTACAGCAGGATGACCATGAGCCAGTCATGTGCTCTCATGGCCAAGAAGGCCAGTGCAGAGCCACAAAGATGATGAAGGGAGTGGAACATCTCCTTTATGAGGAAAGGCTGAAGGAGCTGGGTGTCTTTATCTTGGAAGAGACTGAGGAGTGGCCTTATTAATGTTTCTAAGTATACAGAAGGGTGAGTGTCAAGAGGATGGAGCCAAGCTCTTCTCAGTGACATCCAATGGTAAGGCAAGGGGCAACAGATGAAAGCTGGAGCATAGGAGGTTCCATAAAAACGTTAGGAAAAACATTTTCAATGTGAGGGACACTGAGCACTGGAACAGGCTGCCCAAGGAGGTTGTGGAGTCTCCTTTAGAGATATTCAAAACCCACCTGGATGTGTTCTTGTGTGACCTACTCTAGGGGATCCTGCTTTGGCAGGGGGATTGGACTAGATGATCTTTCGAGGTCCCTTCCAACCCCTAATATTCTGTGATTCTGTGATAATTATTCATTTGCTTTTGGCGGTGGCTATGTTAAAAAGTAGGGGAAGAAGTATTTTAATTACCTGTGTGTTAGTTTTTGCCAAGATACATCTGAATTACAAACATAAACAAAGTGAGGTAAGCGTAAGGTGTCCCTGCCCTTGATCAGGGGGATTGGAAACAGATGATCTTTCAGGTCCATTCTGACATAAAGAATTCTATGATTCCAAAGCAAACACTATGATTGCCTTAATTAGCAGAATGTCATAACTAAAATATTCTCAGTCCTTTTACATTTTCTTAATTGTGGCTGAACGGCAAGGCTGAAAGTTTTGGGATTCCTTAAAACATTCAAGTCACCAAATGAAATAGCATTAAAAGGGTAAATGAAGAAAAATTGTTTTGGTAGTAAGGTTTGATTTCAATACTTTTGAAATTATTTGTTAGGTGTTATTTTCCAATTGTATTTCTGAAACACACAGACTCTCATTTCTTCCTTTCATGATCCTCTTATCGGTTTCTGAGGTCCTTAATGGCCAGAATTCAAGAATCACAGCCATTCAAAGGAGTGACCTCTTGGAACTGAGTGTTATGTGAGGAGAAAAAAGATAAAATATTGATTTATTTGGAACAGAAAATCATAGAAAATGAGAGCAAATATGTCTTTCTTCTATTATGGCTTCCATGATTCATGCTCTGCTGTGTTCTCAATTTTAGAAATGAAACTCTTTACCATAATACATCCTGAACTTACTTGGCAGCCATATTGCAACAGATCACTTAAAAACGTATGAACAATTTCTCAGGAATCAGTTTGAAAGGGTTTTTTTAAAAGTGGTTTTTTTATATATATATATATGTAATATGTACATATATACATGTATATAATTATATGTATATAGGCACATAATTCTATCTGTATATATTCACAATCAAATGGCACCTTTTAAAATTTCTGTTTAGATTTAGTTTAAAATGTCTTTGCATTATATTATAAATATAATGTAGTATTTGAAATTATATCTAAAAGTGTTTCTGAAAACTAAAAGTTTGTGGTTTAGTTATTTTTTTTTAGATTATGAAGCAATACAAACATTCTGATGTCTAAAACCAGATAATTGTATTTACTGCTTTCCCATTTTAATTTTATAGTGATGAAATTGCAGATAAATTATGTAATCATAAGCCCCATTTCTTATTACTTAGTATGTGAGACCATCCTTGACCTGAAATTAAAGCATAATTCAAGACCTCCATGCTTAGATAAAAATACTATTGACTTTACTGAATTAAATTATTCAAGGGATAAAATACCACAAAGAGCTGCATTCTGAACCTTCATCTGTCAATTAAATTACTACATTTAACCTACTTTTGATCTTCTCTGTTACATTTTTGCCAAAACACCTTTTCGCTCTGCTTTTCTCTCTGCTCATAGAAAAGGGTGAATCCTTCTGTAGAGGCAGTGCTTTCTACTCTGCAAATGAATTCCCAGCTAATTGTTAAGTTGTTTTCAGATGTAGTTTATCTTGAAGAACTTAAATGGAAAATTAAGTATTCAGAGTATCTTTAGACATTCTGCACATCATTGTTCTGGCTTTGTGTCTGATGGGGTTTTTGGTAGCTGGAGGGGCTACAGAAGTGGCTCCTGTAAAAGGCTTCTAGAACCTCCCACAGCTCCAAGTTGGACCTGCCTGTGGCCAAGCCTGAGCCAATAAGCACCTCTGTGATAAATATATTTAAGAGGGGAAGAAGCTGTTGGGAAGGTTTTGGGGAGGAGAATGTGAGAGAAACAGCCATGTGGGCCATCAAGGCCAGTGAGGGAAGAGTGGGCAGGTGTGCTGGAGCAGAGATTCTGCCTCAACCCATGGTGGGATGAACGGCTGACCCTCTGCAGCCTGAGGAGATTGGTGGTGGAACAGAATCCCACCTATAGCCCATGGAGGATCGCGGAGCAGAGGACCATGCACTGTGATTCTGAGGGAAGCTCATGCTGGAGCAGTCCATCACTGGGAGGACTGTAGCCAGCAGGAGGGACCCATGCTGGGGCAGTTCATGAAGAACTGCCACCCATGGGAAGGGCTCACGTTGGAGAAGTTCATAGAGAACTCTCTGCCATGGCATGGACACCCCATTGGAACAGGAGAAGAATGTGAGGAGTCTTCTCCTTAAGAAGGAAAAAGCAGCAGAGACAATTTGTGGTGGACTGACTGCACAGCCCATCCCCTACCCCTCTGCACTGCTGGGAGGGAGCAGGTAGAGAAACTGGGAGCAGGGCTTGAGCCCAGGATGGTGAAAGGTGTGGGGAAAGTGCTTTTAAGATCTGTTTGTATTTTATCATTATTCTACTCTGATGTGATTAGTAAATTAGTGGTGCTTTTGTTGTGTAAATTAAATTGATGTTATTTTTTTTGCTTGTGACCATAACCAGGGAGTGACCTCTCCCTGTTCTTAGCCTTTACCCCTGAGCCTTTTGTTATATTTGTTGCATTTTCGCCTCCCCATCCCACCAGGGGTAGGAGAGTAAGAGTGAACGAGCGGCTGTGTGGTGCTTTGTTACTGGATGGCTTGGCCTAAACCATGACAATAATTTTTCCATCAAATGTCACAGTTTATGAAACCATCTTCGAGGTATTTTGAAGCATATTTTAAACAAGTAGGCTTTAAATGTGATGACAGAGAATAATGAAACAGGTTTTAATGATAAATATTAGTAATGTTTGGTTTTTTTCTTTCATGTAGCAATCTGTTTTTTTCTTATACTGTTCTTTTCTAGATGCTGAAATGTACCTAATGGACAATTTACACTGTAATTTATTGTTTTATAGGTTGGAACTTGGGATCCATTGAGTGGCCTTAACATGACAGAGAATCAGAAAGGAAAACCAGCAAACATCACAGATTCCCTGTCCAATCGCTCTTTAATTGTTACCACCATCTTGGTAAGCAATTATATTTGCTTTTCCAGAAATAGTTTTACAGAAAGCTAATAGAATATTAACAATTACAACAATATTAACTAATTACAACAGTAGTAAACAGTCTATAGTATACATTACTACTACGACTAATGCAGAAGTTACTGCATCATTAATGAACTCCAGTTATTAAGCTAGTCATGGACATTTACTCTTTTCTAAATAGTAAGTATATTATCCCAATTTTAGAGTTATGTCAGTTGATTAGTAATTTCACTTATTATTGACTAAAATGTCTATTTCTTTCACAAAGTTGTTTAGTTCAGCAGTGTATTGAAAGGACAAAAGGTATTTGTTTAAAAAAAGTTCTTTGGCTATTAGCCTGATGATTCCAGCTAGCAAAATTTATTGGTTTCATTTGCTAATTTAACATCATGATATTACCTCCAAGGAAAGTATGAAGTATTAACATTTTTATTATTTGATCATTAAGTTGAAATTTTTAAGCATACAGGAATTCTAATTGTTGTTTGAATTAGATCAGAATAAACTTTTTTTTTCATTTCTGTTGTTGAAAAATTCATCATGGTGAGGTATTTTTTAGTTATAATTACATATATTGAACTATGTAAAAATAAATACTGATTTTTGCACTATAATTTTGGAATAGTACTTTTAATTTCAACACAACCAAGAAATTTTCCAGAAGTGTTTCCTGTGTTTGTGTGCTGCCAACACTACTGTGAATCTGTGGATATTAGAAAATAATTTACTTTCCAACAGTTTTAGTCTTTAATAATAAGCTTTCATCTACCAACATGTATTTTGACATTCCAAGCTACGATGAATTTTCATATGTACATAGATCCAAATGGCAGTGTGCTTCCAGCCTTTTATGTAACAGAAGCTGTATAATTTGATCCAGTGGAGTAACATCTTGGTTACTTCTAAGGTCTGTTTTTTGTGAAGATTTACAAATTATAGAAAACCTTCTGAAATCCTTTGTTTCATTTATTGCACTAATTAAAAAATACATACCTAATACATAGTTGGAATATGACTGACTCACTTTCAGACATAAGTTCTTGTTATGCTAAAACGCCACAGTTTTACCTCAGCTTTCTGTCGTACCATTAATTAGAGTTTATAAACATATAATTTCTTGAGTTTCTTATTCACAAAATATAAATGAACATCACAGTCTCTTAAAGTAAAAGCACGTTTTCTAGAGTATTCATCTGTCTTTTTTCTTCCCACTGCCCTTCACAAGCTTTAAAATTTTTTATATGCAAGAACCACTGCCTTATCAAATAATGTTTCTTCATAATCCCAACTGACCACCCTCGTGCTTCTGTTATGTTGTATCCAGATATCCTGCTTAGCAGTTTTCTTGAAGTATACCACTGATATATAACTATGCTTCACATTTTTCCTAATTACTTTCTAGAATTACTGCATTCCAGAGTATAACCCTATTTCTTAGTGGCCTGCTTCATTAGTCAGCACTCAACAAGCCTTTGTATCATCTGCACGCTTCATCAGCAATCATTGTATACGTGATTCCAGATCAGTGATAACATTACTGGGTTGAGGACAAATACCTACAGGATTACATAACAAACACTCAGTAACTTAGGGTGTTTCAAGTTCATTTATGTTTTAACATCTATGGATGAGATTTGAATTCATATGGTGTCTGCATTACGTGTGGTTTTTATAGCGATAGTTACACTTGCATGATTTTGTTTGAAAAAATGATCTCAAGAAAATGTAACCTGCACAAATGAAAATAGCAACACTATTGATGAGCACTGATTTTTTGACTGGTAAAGATGACAAAGGAAGAGTCCCAAGATTTATAGTAGCTGTTACCTTCTGTAATCAAGGATACTTTTTCTCTTAAGGAATAACTTTTGCTAGGTGGTGTTTTATAAGCATCTGTCCTCGTTGCACATTTCTAAATAAAATCATAAATAAGGGAAATATGAGGGCTTTAAACTGGTGTTATGAATTGCTCACTTGTAACTAATTGCCTGTTATACTTTAGTTATTGTTTAGTGAAAGTTTTGGTAATTGCAATAACTCTTTACAGCTATGAAGACGTTGCAAGACTGGTACTAAGAATAGAAAAATGGACCAAGAATTGATCTGGAGCAGAAAGCACATGTACTAGCTTACTTTCATAGCTTTATCTTGTGCTTAACAAATACATTTCCGTTGGACAGAAAGCATATTTCTGAATATTCATTTAGCAATGCAAGGGAACAAAAAATACTACAGATACTAGAAGCGTATTTTCTTCTTCATCACCTTCCTTTTCTCAGTCTGGAAAAAATGGCTTTAAAAGGCGATTTTATCCTTTAAGCTGTTCACATGATTTTTCTATGCTGTTTTCTCACTTTAAGAATTCTCTACAGTAGACTATAATATACTGCCAGCTGTGGAGTCTTGATTAGTTTTCTCTGTAGTCTGATTTAACACTAACTTTTCTGTCAAATATCTCAGCCTTTCTTTTATTTTTAATTCTGTCATATTCTGTTTATGAGCAATTCAGTTGATCTATTCTGAAAAGAGGTCAGGCTTCCCAGTACTTCATCACTTGTCAGAAATCTACTCGTGTAATTTTGGTGCAGAAACGTGTCTTATTTCCAAGTTCTAGTCCCATAACAACCCAAACCACGATCAGAACATGTCTGATGGAGCAATAGTCAGCTTTTTAGGTGGGGGAACATTTGAAAAATAACAATAGTAATAATGATAATAAATATACTGTTTCTATATTTTGTAACCATAGTTTTGGGTACCTTTTCAACACTTTCTTTTTTTTTTTCTGTAACCATAGCTTTTGGGTATCTTTTCAACAGTTTTGCTTTATTTTATTTTAATACTATCTGCACTGAAACATCAGAATTACTTCTACAATTAAAATTTTGCCTTTGAATATTTTACGTTCAAAAAAACCCAACAAAAAACCTTTCAAGTTCATGATTAAGAATTTCTTCTAATTTGAGTCTCCTAGATTTACTTTGGTATAAAAGCTATCAAAACTCTGATTTTTTTTTATTTTTATTTTTTTTTAGATCTTAGGTATAACTAAATACTTTTGGTTCTGTTCGTATTCTACCTTTACTTTGGAAATTTTTAACTTTAGAATTCAGTTTTCATATTCATAAATGTGTGTCCATAGTGTTTATTTGTTTATGCTAAATTTTATGCCAGCCTGTAAATCTTATAATACAAACTTTTCTGCTGAAATGAGTGCTCCTTTCCTTTCCTTTACAGTTTTTATATGCTTTTCTGTGTCTGCATGCATCAAAGTTCTGAAAAGCTCACAGTTGTCAAGTTTGATTTTTTTAAGAAATGTGTGAATGTTATGAGAAGTGTGGGATAATCTCAAATTTAGCAGTTTTTTGTTACTTCACTTTTGAAATGTGAAATTACTTTTTTTTTTCCTCTATGCTTCCCTAAAAATCACTTTCAATATTTTAGAAGAAGGAGTAATTATAATGGATTTTCAAACCAATTTTATTTAGTTCAAAATATAATATCCCCACGCTATATTTTATTTATAAATGCTGCTTTTTCAAATGGGTAGAAATCTGATGCCATACAAATTCCATCCTATTTTCAAAATAAAGATACAAAACCAAGCAAAGCTCAAGATCTTAGCATATTTGTTTTTTTATTTATGTGCACCATTTTTCATTTTGCATACTTTCTCTTCCTTTTTTTTGGACTCAAATAATACTTAATCATGAGTTTTTAATGACCATATTTTAAACTAAACATAACTTTACCTTTTATGTTTATAATGATGAATCAGTCATCTATTGTACACAGAATTAAAGATTTCTAAACTTTTTAATTTTCGTTTTTATGGGTTATTTTGAGCACAGATATGTGATGCAGGCATTTTCTCCTAATTACCATTGTATGATTTTTGGATGATTCAAGCATCATCTAAGTTATGAGACACCAATAAATCAATAACATTTTGTTCCTGCTCATGTTAAAGCCAAAGTTAAGAGTAAATTGTGGGGGTATAAAGAAAACTATTTTTTTAGGAGTGAAACTGCATAAAAGAACAACTATGAGATGAGTTCTTCAGGCTGAGATTTGGGTCACTTTTCGTGACCCAAAAGGCCATCTTAGGGAGTCTTCCAGGAAATATCTCAAAATATCTCAAAAGATGTCAAATAAAGATTTTCATAATTAATTTCTATTATAGGTAGCATAGTGGAGGAAGGTGAATTTGATATTTTCTTGTGTCTGGCCTTAGTTTCTTCTATTAAAATATCCTGGCTGAAATGGCTGGTGAGATGTCTACTATATACATTGTTTTGATTGATTGTAACTAGTTGATTGCCTCACCTCTTCCACTTCAATTTGACTGTCACCTGTGAAAGCCTATTGTGTATTCCTTACATCTGATATTAACTAGATATGGCAGCCTTTTAATTCCAGTATCCTTGGTGAAGAGAAGCTTATGATTAAAATTCCCTATTCTAATAGTGGCAAATTTTGAAGGTGGCTTTCCTCTTTTCCTCATAAGGGCTTTTATGTTCTTTATTTGTTTTGCTTTGTTATTTTTCAATACTGATAGTAGAACAAAAGTTCTAGGTCTTTATAAAAATACACATGTCCATGTTGAAAGTATTAATGAACAATCCATAGCTATCTATAAAATTAGAACAATTTGAAATGTAAAGTTTGTTGTCATTTCTAGTAATATCTTTGTAGTTACTCATTGCGGCAGGTTTGGACTAGCTGACCTTTAAAGGTCCCTTCTATCCCAAACCATTCTGTGATTCAGTGAAATATAATACAGGTCACAGGAGTAATTCAATTAAGTATTTCTTGTTCAAATCTGAAGAGAAAATATATAGATCAAGACAAAGAAATAAAAAAAAAATTATCAGTAATTTTTTTCCATGCGTACATATGTAGAATAAGTGGGTTTTCATTCAAGCACAGGTTGTAGAATTTAAAAACTGAAACAATTCTGTAACACCACAATATTAATTCTACATGTAGAAACATAAGACAATAATATTTTATTGTGTAGG